GAAGGCTCACGATGATTCTAAATAAACAAACAGCTTTGCCATGACGTATGATGAATTTTAGCAATTTAAATTCGTGTGGAAGAATAGGCACTTGCGTATATGGAACGCTTGGATTGTCAACGTTCGACGAAATTGGCTTAACTTTCGCATTCGGTGTCCATTTTAGACCCATAACTGTAACGACCCATTTTTTTTTAAAGGGTTGAATCGCTACTGAAATTTTTCATTCGAATTTGGGTATCTTTAACGTGTATAAAAAAAAGGCACATAAAATTAATCTGCACTTTAAAAATTCAAGACAGGACTCACATTATACGTGTGAAATAATTTATTTATTTTTTTCATTTGACTTAACACATCTAAATATACGCAATGATGGATCCCATATACACATAGGATAATCAAAATTCCCAGTCAAAGATATGCTTTTGTCTTTCATTAGTGTGGTGTGGGACACTGCCCAATTAAGAGAATAGTACAAAAGCTGAATCATTTATTTAAGAAATTCAACACTTTACACCACAAGGCTACAGGACATAATTTATTTGGATATGACCACCAGTCCATAAATTGACAGTGAAGAAAATTCTTGAACAGTGAGATTGGCAGAAAAAGTAATATTTAATTCGAATTTCATTTAAAGTGAATTGACCCTTACTCTTAAATCAGACACGAAAATTATGAATAAAATATTTTAAAGAAGTCGAGATTCCTAATTTTTCTTCATGCAAGCACGGAGATCAAAGCAAAATAACACGCTAAGGAAATCCAACAATTTTAATTCAGACTTTAAATAGAAGCATAATTTAAAAATATTCATGTAACAAATAATCACAAACGATAAATCAGTTTTTAAAAATAAATGACTATAACAAGAAATAAAATTACTCGTGAATAATAATTTTAAGACATGTGTCAGAATATCATACCGTCGCATAACTTTAAAATCCGGTAAGAGCTCACATCATAACATTTTATTTCATTTCATTGTACCGGAATGGCCATATCATTCAATCATACATTGATATCATAACTTTACTTTCATAAGCATAAAATTCGTCAACATGTAAAAAAAATAATAATTAAATGGGACATTAAAAAAAATATTGCACCTCATATCCTACCTTATTAAACTGCTTTAATTTTGGAAGTTAAAACAAAATCACGTTCCCTTCTTTTCTTTTCTTTTTCTACCTCTTCTATCACTGTAAGCAATGCACTTATATTTTTGTGTGTCTATTTCGTGTGGTGCATTCCATATACATATGCAGTAACTTCTATGGGATAACGTGTGAGAGATATAGGGAGATAGTGGATGATTGAATAAAGTGGAGAGAACTGTATTTGAAACAAAAATGGGAGACTAAGTCTTATCAATAACCAACCACTCAGGGGCAACTTCCACACGTGGCGTCTTCTCAAACGAATTGAAAAGGGAAATATTAATAAAGCTGCTTCTCTCTCTCACGTGGTTGCCATATCTTTTTATATCTCTCTCTTCAATATTTTTTTTAATTATTAGTTAACCAATTAAATCCTACCAAATTCTTCCACGTGAATCTTCCAACACAATGCATACTCAAATAAAATAATAATAAAAATAATCATAACAATATTTTAAGGCTAAATCTTTCAATCTCAATAATTTAAGCTCCATTAATCCAAATCCACTTTTTCTCGAGCCTAATATGCATGATTAAATACGAGCTTTCCAACCAGACCAATTTTCATATACTTATTGTCGCTCCGTCAACATCTACATTTTAACCTGAATAAAATTTAATTTTTACTTTGTATATATTTTAGTCCCTAAAATATTAAAATTTAGCATACATAAAACAAATTTTATTCTATGAAATTTTGGGTTACTACAATCTTCCCTCCTTAAAATATTTTCGTCCTCGAAAATTTACCTTGGTTACTCAAAGAGCTCTGGATACTTGGCTTTAAGCTCCTCTTCTTTCTCCCAAGTTGACTCATCAAGTCCATGATTTCGCCACTGGATCTTGACTAAGGAAACCTCTTTGTTTCTAAGTTGATGTAGCTTTCTCTCCAAAATCATCATCGGGGTTTCTTCATATGATAAGTCCTTTTGTACATCCAATGTTTGATAACTTATTACATGATTGGGGTCATGAATATATTTTCTGAGCATCGATATATGAAATACATTATGCACTGTTGCAAGTTCAAGGGGTAAGGCAAGTCGGTAAGCCATAACGCCAATCCTTTCAAGAATTTCGAAAGGTCCAATAAATCGCGGTCTCAACTTTCCCTTCTTGCCAAATCTCAATACGCCTTTCATGGGTGCTACTTTAAGGAAAACTTTGTTGCCCACACTAAATTCCAAATATTTTCTCCTACGATCTGCATAACTCTTCTGTCGGTCCTGTGCGGTCTTTATTCTGGCTCTAATCTTGTCAACTGCCCCAACTATTCGTTCAATAATTTCAGGACCTAAAATTCTGTTCTCTCCAACCTCATCCCAATGGATAGGGGATCTGTACTTTCTACCATAAAGAGCTTCGTATGGGGCCATACCTATAGTGGCTTGGAAGCTATTATTGTAAGCAAACTCCACTAAAGGCAGGTGTGTCTCCCAACTACCTCCAAGATCCAAAACACATGCCCGCAACATATCCTCAAGGGTCTGAATGGTTCTTTCTGATTGTCCATCTGTCTGTGGATGATAAGCAGTACTAAACTTCAATTTCGTCCCCATGGCTGTCTGCAAACTTTTCCAAAATTTAGACGTGAACCTCGGATCTCTATCTGAAACAATAGTGACTGGAACTCCATGCAATCTGTCTATCTCTTTGATGTATAGCTATGCAAACTGTTCCATGTTGAAGTTCACCTTGATTGGTAGAAAATGGGCTGACTTCGTCAAACGATCAACCACTACCCAGCTAGCATTGTGACCTTTTGCAGTCTTTGGGAGGCCTACCACAAAGTCCATAGTTATGTGTTCCCACTTCCATTCTGGAATATCCAACGGTTTCAGTAGTCCTGATGGTCTTTGGTGTTCTGCCTTAACCTGCTGACAGATAAAACATTTTTCAATGAATTGACCAATTCCTCTCTTCATAGTTCTCCACCAAAATGTATCTCGGAGATCTCGATACATTTTCGTACCACCTGGATGTGCTGAATACGGGGCAGAGTGAGCCTCTTCCAGTATCTCATTTCTTATACTTTCATCTTTAGGTACACATAATCTTCCTTTGAAAGTCAGGGCGTTATCTACAGACATTTCAAATCCCATACGCCTGTTTGTGCCAACCTCAGCCTTTATCTTCTGTAGGAATGGATCCTTATTCTGTGCCTCCTTGATTCGATCACGAAGAATAGGCTGAATCATAAACGCTCTGACTCTTGCTTAGTCTGAGTCGGTGGCGTGATAACTTCTAATCTCAATTTCTCAAAGTCTCTTATCAAGTGTTTCTGCACTGTGGGTAGAACTGTCAACTGTGATCCTGTCTTTCTGCTTAGGGCATCTGCAACTACGTTAGCCTTACCTGGATGGTAATGAATCATGCAGTCGTAATCTTTTACTAGTTCCAACCATCTCCTTTGTCTCATATTCAGTTCCTTCTGTGTGAAGAAGTATTTAAGACTCTTGTGGTCTGTATAAATTTCACACTTCCCACCATAGAGATAATGACGCCATATCTTTAAGGCGTGAACTACCGCTGCAAGCTCCAAGTAGTGTGTTGGATAGTTTTGTTCATACTGCTTCAACTGTCTCGAGGCATAAGCAACCACTTTTCCATGCTGCATAAGTACACAACCTAAACCATGCTTTGAGGCATCGCTATAGATCACAAATCCCTCTAAACCTTCAGGTATCGTTAATACAGGAGCTGAGACTAGCCTCTGCTTGAGTTCTTGAAAACATTTTTCTTTCCACTGAAACTTCACGCCCTTTCTTGTTAACTGAGTCATCGGCCCTGCTATTTTTGAGAAACCTTCAATGAATCTTCTGTAATAGCCAGCCAATCCCAAGAAACTGCGGACTTCACCCACACTAGTCAGACTTGGCCAATTTGTTACTGCTTCCACTTTAGCAGGATCTACTTCGATTCCTTGGGCGGTAACCACATGACCAAGGAACCTACACGATCAAGCCAATATTCACACTTCTTGAATTTAGCATATAATTTCTCCTTTCTCAAAGTCTCAAGTACTATTCGGAGTTGTTCCTCATGCTGCTTCTTATCTTTGGAGTACACGAGTATGTCGTCAATAAATACTATGACAAACTGATCTAAGTACTGATGGAACACTCTGTTCATGAGATCCATAAATACAGCTGGAGCATTGGTCAAACCAAAAGGCATCACAGTGAATTCATAATGCCCATACCGAGTCCTGAAAGCAGTTTTCGGTATATCGCTTGCCCTGATTTTCAGTTGATGATACCCTGACCTCAAGTCGATCTTTGAAAACACCGAAGCACCCCTTAACTGGTCAAACAAATCTTCTATTCTTGGCAACGGATACTTATTTTTGATGGTCAGATGGTTTAATTCTCGATAGTCAATGCACATTCTCATACTTCCATCCTTCTTCTTGACAAAAAGTACAGGAGCTCCCCAAGGAGATACACTCGGTCGAACGAAACCTTTCTCCAGCAATTCTTCCAATTGCAACTTCAATTCTTGAAGTTCTTTTGGTGCCATTCTATACGGGGCCTTAGATACTGGCGCTGCTCCAGGAATTAAATCAATTGTAAATTCCACTTGCCTACCTGGTGGAATGCCTGGCAAATCTTCTGGGAACACATCTGCAAAGTCTCGCACAATATTAATATCGTTAACAGTTGCTTCTGTATGTTGAGAATTGATAATGTTAACTAAGAATCCCTGGCATGACTCCTTTCTTAACATCTTCTCCGCTTGCATAGCTGATATAAGACGAGGTAGGGACTTAAACTTTGCTCCAAAGAAATGAAACTCTTCCTCTCCTGGTCTATGAAATAGCACTTCTTTTTCATGACATCAAATGGTAGCATGATTAAGTCCTAACCAATCCATGCCTAAGATAACATCGAAGTCTTTCATTTCCAAGAGGTATAAGTCTGCCTCCAATATTTTCCCATCAATCTCTAACTTCCTAGACTTAGTCATCTGGTTTGTGCAAAGAGTTTTTCCTGACGGACTGCTAACCTCTAATTCATTATTTGTTCTCACAGATGCAAAGTTGGACCTAGTGACGAAGGATGCAGATATAAAAGAATTGGTTGCCCCAGAATCAAAAAGTACGTAAACGGGCACATTGGATAATAACAGAATACCTGTTTTTTGTAATTATAATGTTAGACTAGCAACCAAAGGACAGAAATGAAACGATATTTAGTCCTAGGTAAAAAGAACATAGGTAGTTATGTAAACAAAATATTAATAAATACCTGCTATCACATTCGGATCCTGCTCTGCCTCATGCTGATTCAGTGAGAAAACTCGGGCCTTTCCTTTCTTGTTTTGGTCTTGATCATCATCCTTCTTCTTTGGAGGCTCTGGACAGTTGAGAACGATGTGTCCGGGCTTACCACACCTAAAGCACACATTCTTCCCGAACCAGCATTCACCCATGTGGAGTTTATTACACTTAGGACATGGGGTAATACTTCCACTCGTCCCATCAATGCGAATTCCTATGTCTGGCCTTTTATTCTGCCAATTGCGTCTGTTCTTGTTTTGATCACTCCACTTCCTTTTCCCCAAAAACTCCTTACTCTGCTGGGCATACTGTTCAAATGAGGTCCTCTGATATGAAATAGCATGAGCCCTCTCCAACATTTCACGACATGAGGTGAAACGATGGGACATAATGATCATGCCGATCTCAGGGCGCAGTCCATTCTCGAACCTCCTAATCTTCTTAACTTCTGTATCCACCAAGTACGGGGCATACCTCGAGAGCTGCTCAAACTGTCTTTCATAATCAGTAAGTGACATGTTCCCCTGTCTGAGCTGCAGAAATTCTGATTCCTTGAAGTCCCTCAAAGCTTGTGGAAAATATTTTGCCAGCGCTTCGTCTTTAAACTGCTCCCAAGTCAGATTACGTTGCTGCTCTTCCGTCCTTGTACGTGAAACAGATTCCCACCAGTGACCAGCTGCTCCAATTAACATAAATTCTGCGCATAATACTTTCTGTGCATCCGTACAAGCAATGTGTCGAAATATGCGCTCCATGCCTCTTATCCACTCTTCGACAACCAGTGGTTCAGAATTACCGTCGAAAGTGGAAGGCTTGTACCTGCGAAACTACTCAACCACTGAGACAGCTCCGGGGGTAAAATGCGGTGCATTTTGTTGTGGCGGTGCATTTTGTGGTGGAGGTGCTTGATTTTGCCTGCTCAGCTCTTGTACCGCTCTTAGTAAATTGTGCATCAAATTCGTATGAGTAGGTGGTGCCATTTCCTAAAATTTAATATGAAGTTACAATCACATTTCAGCACTAAGTCTATCACGTTATACTTATTTTTATCGTAATACATATCATCAATTTAGTGAAAAAATAAATTGCACGTCTTAAAGATTTAGAAGTAGGCAATCTAAAATATTGAAATTATTGAAAACATCTAAGTGCATTCATTTTCTTACCCTTCTACATACCTTAGAGTCGTCGGAGGGTGGTCGATTGTGGTTGTTGAGTGCCAAAAATCGCTAGCATAATTAATAACCTTAATTTGACATTATCGTTAAATTCATAGGTTTTTCAGAAAATAAATTTTTTTTTTAAACAACGTCACGCAAGGAAAAACAGCTAGTAAAATATATATATATATTTTTTTTATTACACGTAACATTTAAAACACGGAAGTACAATATTCATATAACATCATCGAAATAATTATTATTATTAATTATATATATATATATATATTTT